GGTGGGGGTTGGTGGGTTTGGAGGTCGACATGCATTTGCACCCGGGATTGAGCCCTGAATCCGCCTCTGCATCGCGCGGGGCGCCGCGGCGACCTCCCTGGGCAGGCCCGTGGACACAATGCGCAAAGAGAGGGTTAGGAAACTTGGGGATCTGATGATGAAGAGACCCCCTGAATCGAGCCAATATTCCCGGTTACTGCTGCCGAGAGGACGAGGCCATCTGCATCGCCTGACGGCTCAGGAACAACTGTGCAAAACGGAAGGGGGGCCCGCGGCTGCGGGACGCGGCAGCGAGCTCGATGCCTGGGAGCCCCCCCCTCCTCCCCTCCCCCCGCGCCGCGAAATGCAGCCGGCATCGGGGGGCGGCGCGCGCTCTTGGTCATTCTTTGCCGGCCCCGGCCCCCCCTTCTCCCTTTCTGTATACTCAGCTTTTTTCCCTTTTTCTGATGTGCGCATTCAAGACATGGGCCACTCACCGGCTTTGTCGTACACAGCCCCTGTGTGGTCCCTCCTGAAAGGGGCGCCGCCATGCAGCTGGTACATCTCTGATTGGAACCAATCATGCGGGATTGGAAGCGTGATTAGTGGCGCCATGGTGACATGGGTTTCGTTGTGCATATAAGATCAGTTGTACGAGGAGTGGTGAGAGGAAACATAGAGGGGACGGCAGCATGCGACAGCGGCGAGCGCAGCCGCTGCTGCAATGCGGGCGGTGGGGACGCATCCATTGCGAGCAGCAGCAGCAGCAGCAGCAGCAGCAGCAGCAGCAGCAGCAGCAGCAGCAGCAGCAGCAGCAGCAGCAGCAGCAGCAGCAGCAGCAGCAGCAGCAGGCCGACAGAGGCGTGCGAGGCGGGTCCAGCGGCAGGCTGCCATCGCACCAGGATACCAAAGGGTGCCGTCGAGATCGAATGCGATCAGCTTTGGAACCACATCCGGCACCTGCAATGGGGTGGGGCAAAACAACGGGCAGTCAATACATCCACAGACACAGGGGCCAGCGGACAGGATCGTTTGCAGGGGTTCAGGCAGCTAGGTCAGGGCAAAGGTACGGGTTGGCATTTCTTCGTGGGGCTGCAGCATGCAAGGCGGCGGTCCCTCGCCCCTGCTGCGTCCTCGTCCCCTTGACTGCATGCGTGTCCTTGACTGCATTTCCCATGTGCGCCGCAGCTGCTCAAGTCGCATGCTGCACCCCGACTAATGTTCAACGCCTGATACGTAACCTCCCTCCCCTTGGCACACACCGGCTCATTGGAGCCAGACCCCATTGCTGCTGGCGTGGTGGTTGAAGCGCGCTGCGGCAGGCGCTGTGGCGTTCTCCAACCGGCAAGGGCGCCTCGTTCAGCGCGCTGGCAGCGGAGCTGAGACGACGGCGCGGTACGAGCGAATAGCATGCAGCGAATTTACTGTGCAATTGGCGGAGCAGAGGGGTGGTGTGTCAGTGACACAAGTGTGGCGCCTGCGGTTGCTTATGTGTATGTTGCTTTACAGTCTGCAATGGGCTCACGAATATAAGTTTCAACAATGGGCGAGTTGATCGCAGCGCACCTTAGATCGGTGACTGGATCAGAAGTGACGGTAGAGGAGCGGTTCCCCGCAAGCAACCTGCTGGTGTGGGACATCAAGCTTCAATGGTGTGGTCAGCAGCTGCGGTGGCAGGTGCGCGCGGCACCGCTCGCTGCCGCTGACCGCGGCGGGACCCGCCCCACCTGGATGGGCTCAACACAACTTTTTGGTGCAACGCTTGCAGGTGCTGAGGGACCTCTCACGTCCAGATCTGGCCCCAGACTTTGTATTCGACTGCAAAGACTTCTACCCGCTCATTCCTGACAGCGGCGGCGGCGCCGACGCGGACATTGCTCGCCGCCTCCTCGCCGCGTGGCGCTCGGCCCCGCCGCCCGCCGAGGCGCGCGCGGTCGGCGCGCTGCTCGCGTCGCTCGTGCGGCTCTTCTTCGACCACCAGCGGCGCCGGCTGGCGGGGCTCAGGAGCGAGCGGCTGGCATTCGAACTGGGAATGCTCGAGGACACCGGCTGCACCCAGTTGCTGCTCACAGGTGATGGACCGCCTGCGCACCAGCTCTCGCACTGACGCACACGGTCATGACCCCGGCGCGCCGACCAACGCACCCTGCAGTCGCTGCTGATGCTTAGCAGTTCCGCTGGTAACACCGTACAAACTGCGACGACGCTAGCTGTGAACGACGCGCCACGAAAGCCCGTCGCACCCGCTTTTCCAACCGACGTTGCCCATCCATCCCAACTGGCCAGATGAGAAGGACCCGGCAGCCCGCAAGGCCTGCTTTGGCATCCCGATTGACGGCATTGATGCGGCAGCCGTGCAGCCGCTGCTGCAATATCAAGCCAGGCGGCAGCAGCAGGAGCAGCAGCAGCAGCAGCAGCAGTTCGTCAGCTCATCAGCCGCCGCGCCAGCGCCGCGCAGCCCCGGCGCCGGCGCCGGCAGCGGCGGGCCAGCGGCGGCGATGCGTGCAGCCCAGTCCCCCGCTGCTTCCTCTGCTGCTTTTGCATCATCGGGCGGCTCCTCGAGAGGCGGCGTGGACTTCTTTGGCGGCGGCAGCGACGCTGCTGTCGGGGAGGCCGGAACGGCTTTCACGCCCCCAGCAGTAGCAGCATCAGCAGCAACAGGAGGGGGAGCAGGAGGCAAGGGCGGCGGGCTGGACCCCAGTGCTGGCCGCTTCCTGCTGCAAGTCGCGTTCAGCACCGCCCCTGGCTCGGCCCACGCCGCGCCCGCGCTGCAGCTGCAGGCGCCGCCGTGGTTTGCCGCGGCGGCGCTGCCGCCGCTGCCGCTGCCGGCGTGGAACGCGCAGGCGCCGCTGCTGGAGTATGTCCCGTTAGTCACGGAGCGCTTGCGGCAGCACCTGGCGCAGCACTGCGCGGCGGCGGCGGCGCGGTTTCAGGCGAGCGGGGCTTGGAGGCCCGGGTGCTGCTTGCTTCGCCAGCGCTTTCCTTGTGGATGCGCACACAGCATGGGTCCGCGGGCCGTGCTGGGCGGGCGACCAGACCGGGCCGTTTGCCAACCTTATGTCCAGGCATGGCGGATCTCAATCAAACAGGCAGCAACGCCAATCAGAACCAGCAACAATGAACTAAACGTCAATCTCAACTGCTGCGTGGCAGATTTTTGAGCACCTGGCGGCGCTCTTTGGGCCTCCCTTGGAGATCAGAATGTCGGTCCCCCAACCTTCCGCTGCCGCGGCCGCCTCGGCGGCGGGCGGTGGCGGTGGCGCGTCTGCTAGCTACAGCTCAGTGGCGGGCCCCGGCGGCGGCGCCGGCGCCTGCGGCGCCGCGCTCGTGGGCAGCGGCGGTGCGGGCATCAGCGTCGCCGTGTTCCAGGTGAGAGGCTGGCAGGGCGCGTCCGCACATTCTAGGTGTGCTCGCCCGCCACCCCGCCCTCTCGTCGGGCTGTTGGGGAGCCGGGGCCCCTTGATAATCAAAGGGCACACTCTCTGGCCAAGTTTCATGAGCCGTCCAACCGGCCTGCAAAGCACCGCCTCGCGCATGTCTGAGGCGTGCCCCCAACTGCCCTGGTGCTGACCCGCCCATTCTTGGGTGAAGCGTATCCCTTGCCCAGACACACACGACACACACGACACACACACACACACACACACGCGCACACACACATACGCGCGCGCGCGCGCGCGTGCGCACACATACACCACCCCTCACCCTCCCATCCACAGGTCGTGTTTGACCAGCAGCCGATGCTGCTGTTTGTTGAGGTGCTGCCGCGCTTCCCCGAGGAGCAGCCAGCACTTACGCTGCAGAGCATCAGGCGCGCGCACACACATTAGCGTGGATGCCTGCCGTTGCGCTCGAGCCAGCACTCACGCTTTTGCATGCAGGCAGCACACACTTCATGATGTGTGTGTGTGTATATGTGTGCGTCTGCTCCTGTGTGCGTGCGCGTGCTCCTTGTTCAAATCACGCCCACCCACCAGCCGAAGGTCTCACCCACCAACCCCCACCATCAAACACACATGAGCAAACAACCCCAATTCGATATCAAAACACACCATGCACGCGCGGCAGGCGGACGGGCGCGGACGGCTCGACGACGTGGCGCACCTACCCCTGGTCCCCCCGCTGGCCCCTGGACGAGATGGCGGCGCGGCTGTTCAACTTCCTGAAGCAGCAAGCGGCGGCGGCGGCCGCAAGGCCGGCTGGGGCTGTTGCCTGAAGCGAGGAAACGGCGAGCCTGACTGGCCCTGCCGTGGCGGTGCATTTGCTGGCCCCTATAGAAGCGAGCCCCTGGTGATGCCTAGTTCTATGCAACATACGCTTTTGTGGTTGACCTAGGTTGTTGCCAGTGAGCTGCAGCACACGTCACATGGAGAGCTCAGAGTCCCATGCAGTTATCACCACACAAATGCATTTCCACGGTTCGCAACCGCATGAAACACGCGCTGATGTCAGCACTGTGCCGGTGTCTGCACTGGTCGGCCCCTGGCCCCTGATGCGCCGCTTTCAAAGGCTCCCAGCCGCCTCCAGAGCCGTCCATGGTGGGTGGCAGCTCGATCCCGCTGGCACAGATGCCGCCGCGGCAACCCAGCATGCGCTTTGCCACAAAGCCGAGTGGCCTGCGATCAACCTCAAACGTCACGGCTGCTGTTGCGCGGGGCCTGGGACCTCGGCCAGGGGAACAGATAGCAGCAGGGGCAGCAGCAGCAGCAGCAGCAGCAGCAGCAGCACTAGCAGCAGCAGCAGCAGCAGGCTCCTTGGGGCCTACTTTAAAACTCAGCCTGCTGAGCTGCGACTTCGCCCGCGTGGGCCTGTCAGCCCTCCACGGCCCCACCCCCGCGCTAGGCGGCAGTGCAAGCGAACCACTGCAGCGGAGCGCAGGGGGCAGGGAGCGTGCAGGCGGGCGTTTCTTGAGCTCGCAAAGGTTTTCACGAGGTGCATTTCAGCATGAGACTTGCCGCTGATTACACAGATTTTAGACAGAGATTTTAGAACGATTGTATTCAGGTTTTCACGCAGGATTTTACACGCAGAATAGGGGCCCGCATGGGCGACGCCGCTGCAACAAACTTCACAAGCAGCAAAACACCGAGGCTCAAGTGCGCGGGCGTCCCGCAACGCCGCGACAAGCCCAGTCGAGCCGCACGCGGCGGCGATCACGCCTTTCCGGCTTCCGCCGGCCGCGGCGCGACCGACCGCGCGATTTGCAGGATGTCCCCAAATACGCCCGCGGCCGTGACCGCCGCGCCCGCGCCGGGGCCGCGCACGATGAGCGGCGTGGCGGCGTAGCGCTGCGTGGTGAATGCGATGAGGTTGTCGCTGCCTTGCAGCTGGGCAAAGGCGTGGTCGGCGGGGAAGCTGCGGGGAAGGTGTTGCAGCGAAAGGGGTGGGGTGGGAGTAAGTGGCTGGGATGGGCTGAGGAGGGAGTGACGACGTGAGAAGGTGGGCAGGGGTTGCTGAGAGGGGGGCCGGGCATTCGGGGGAAGAGCGGTTCAGGGGTGTCTGCTGCTGACGGGGGGACAAGATGCAGCAGCCACAAGGCTTGCGGCGGCAAAAAACAGGGCGGCATATGAGATGCGGCCAGCAAAGTAAGAACTGTTGTTGCTTTGATGGCGAGGTGGAGGAGTTGAGACAAAAGGGGGTGGTACAGGGGCCAGGAAATGGCAGGAGAAGCGAGCAGGAGGAGGTTAGCATACAAATCTGACAACCAGCGCGCTGGGCTGATGCTGCGCCGCAACAGCGCTCCAACAACCAACTCAACACACCCGCCCGGCCCCCACTCCAAAACCATCAGCAGCACGGAAAGTTGCGGTGATTTGCCCGTACTAGGATCCCGGGTTTAGGGTTCAGGCTTCAGGGTTCTCAAACCCTGTTGGAAAAACCCTAGCCCTGGTTAAAACAATCCTTAATTCCAAACCCCACCTCTGGAGGGTGACGCTGGCGGTGCCGCTGGCGACATCCACCACCCCCACATAGCGCAGCACCCCGCCCTCCGCCGCCGCCGCGTCCGCGCGCTGCGCCATCTCAGCATCGAACTGCACAGTTTGCAGGGGGGAGGGCGGAGGAGGGGTCAGGGCCGGGTGCCGGCAGGGGCGCTGGTTGTGGTTTTGCAAACGAACAAACCATGGGGCAGATGCGCTACCTTTGAGCTGCTGGACCCGATAACTCAACGCCTGTGACAAGCCCCAGCAGCATTGAAAAAACAAACACGCACACACAATGCACGACAAAAAGGAACGACAGTGGGAGGAGATGCAACCGAGTAGGCCGCGCACCCAGTACAGGCATGCATTGCTGCACATAACACTCGTGTGGGCTCCCACACGCAAACGTGATCCACACGCCAAGCAGCTTCGCCTTTTTGCCATGCCCACGTATGGCCGTCCCCCGAAGGGCATGGCTGGACGCACACACAACACATAACCTTGTGCCCAACTCGCCCACCCAAACACGACCCCGGGAGTCGATTCCACCCATCCGCTGGACCCGCTGGAGCAAAAGGAGCAACGCCATGCATCGCACGCCCCCGGCCGCCCGCGCACCTCAGGCAGCCGCGCCATGAACTCGTCCGCGCCCGGCAGCGCCTGCAGCGGCTCGGGCACCAAGCTCTCCACCCGCAGGTCTTCCAGCTCAGTAGACAGGCCGCAGGCCCTGGCCAGGATCACCACTTTCCGGGCCACGTCCATGCCTGTCGGAGTTTCCGAGGATGATTGGGCGGACGTCGGTCGGATTTGCCGATGACGCATTCTCCGGGCCGGCTAACCGCATGGGATTGAGGCCGGGGTGCATGGGGCACGCCGCACCAGAAAAACCAACCAAAGATCGCGGATTTTATAACCTCAAAATCGAGTGGTGTGAGCTGAAGGGGCTGGTGTCAGCGGAGAGGAACGACGGCTAGGGAGGATGCCGGCTGCTCGCAGTCCCACCTGACAGGTCCTCCCGGGGGTCTGGCTCGGTGTAGCCCAGGTCCTTGGCCGCGGCCACGACGCTTGAGAAGGGGGTGCCGGGCCGGAATGTGTTGAAGATGTAGGACAGCGTGCCGGACAAGATGCCCTGCGGAGAGGTGCATGGTTGTGTATGAGTGGTGTGTGTGTACGCTTGTGTGTGTATGCTTGTATGTGTGAGTGTGTGTAGGTGTGTGGCTGCGTGCGCTTACATGTGTGTGCAGTGCGTGTGGAAGCCATGCGCGTGTGCAGGCATACTGCTTTGCTGCGTGGGACATGTATCACGTTGTTAGCTTGCAACTGCAGCATAGCACACGCCCACGCCAGCACATGTATGCGACACTCCTGCCCTTGAACAGGTGTCGCCTTGCAAAACCACAACCTCGGCCCCCCGACCAGCGACGCGCTTTGGCTGCCCAAGTGCAACAGCGGCAGCCGTGCACCAAGGCGCCGCTGGTGCCCACCTGCGGGGTGGCCGCCGCAGCGCAAGTCATTCCTCGACACACCCTGGGACCCTTCCATGCACTACCCAGGGTCGCGTTCCCATGCCCGCCCGCCCCCACGCACCTCTATGCGCGTCACTTGATCACCCGTCTCAACCAGGTCGCGCAGCGTGCTCAGCACGGGCAGCCCCGCGCCCACCGACGCCTCAGCCAGCAGCCGCGCGCCGCCGCCGCGCGCCGCGCGCAGGGCGGCGCTGTACCTGCAAACGCGTGCACGCGAGCAGGTAAGCGAGGTAGGGAGTGAGCCCCGCAGCGGGCACCGCCCAAAGCGGGAGGCGCTCTAGACAGAGGCTTGCGCGCGGCGCGGGGCACGCAGGTCGGTCGCTCGCCCCCGTGCCCTGCGCCCTGGCGCAGCCCCTATTTTGCGAGCTGGCAATCGCGATCAGCCCTCAATTTGCTCCGCCCGTTTCCCCGCAGGATCGCCAGCGATCCATCAAAGCCGAAAAGACTGCCTTGTCGAAACTAACACTCCATCGCCACAGCTCCCCCGCACCCGCCTTCCAAACGCCCCGTCACACCTCGTCACGCCACCCGCCCCCCACTTCTTGTTGGGCGTCACCACATGCAGCCCTGACCCCAGCCATGACTCATAGTGGTCCGGGACGCTGTCGGAAGCTGTGCAGTCAACTATGACGCCCCAACCGCCAGGAGCGCTGACGTGGCGAGCAAAGGCCGGGAGGTCGAGGGGGGCGCCCTGCCGCGCGTGCGGGCGTGCGGGCGTGTGTCTGCGGACTTGCGTGCGTGTTTGCAGGTAGGCTGCCGCCAAGAGGGGTTCATCCGCAGCCCGCCCCACCGCAGCCGGCACGTGCGTGCCCCCGTTACTACCCCCTGCGGCCACGCACCTGGAGCTGCAGCCGCTCAAGCCAGTCGCCTGCCAGCTGCAGCGGCGCGGCGTCCACATCAGCCAGCAGCTGCCGCTTAGAGTTGGCGACTGCCACCAGCGAAAGGTGGATCCCCAGCTTGTCACGAAGGTAGGGCGTCTGGGTTGCGCAATGGGGCAGGTGACAGCAATGTTTCAAGGCGGAGCAGGGGGCACGCTTTACTTCCCCCAAGATGTGCCAAGTCGACGCCCAGCGGTGCAGGACAGGGTGGATGGCGCGCAATGTAGCGCGCACCTGCTGCCCCAGCTGCTGCACCAGCGATTTGCCGATTAAGCCAGGTCCAATGAGACCCACGCACAGGCGTCCCATGCTGCCTGTTTTGGATCGGTAAAGTCGTGTGATCTCGTCGCTGCAGGCGGTGAAATATTCGTGCACGTTAGATGTCTAAACTCAAACTTCGCGAAAACATCATAAATTTTACAGCTGTTTAAGCACTCGTCCTTTTCCGCAGCCGACCACACACGTCGAGCTTGCGCACTCCATCGCAGAGTGCCAGCCCCGCGTAATAGTGGTAGAATCCCGCTCCACACGCCCTTGAAAGCGGCTGCCGCGCGGCGGTCACCTCTGCGAAACGCCCGACAGCGCCGCCGTGCCGGCCGCCGCCAGGTCTCGGCGCAGCATCGCAGCCCGCGGCGGGCCCCTTTTAGCAGCAGTCGGAGCGGCAGGAGTGCGCAGCCATGTATCTCATGTACTACGACGACGACCAGGGCAACAGGGTGTACACTCTCAAGGTGCGCAGCGCACGCGCGTGACCTGCGCCTGTACCTCCACTTCCGCACCAAGACCAGCACGCCGCCGCCCGAGCCACCCTGCGCCGCAGCGCAACGCGGCGCTGGCAGCCGGCGCTGGCGTGCGCCTGCTGCACGCTCCTCAGCCTCCACCCAGCCGTTGCACGCGCCCCACTCAGAGCCTGGCCCTTTTCGCCTGAAGCCCATGCACGCGCAACCCCCTGGGCCCTTGCAGAAGGTGGGGCCCGACGGCACCCCCACCAAGAGCGCCCACCCGGCGCGCTTCTCCCCTGATGACAAGTTCAGCCGCGAGCGCGTGACCCTCAAGAAGCGGTTCGGCATCCTGCCCACCCAGCTGCCGGCGCCGGAACTTTGAAGCGTCTTTTATGCTGGGCGCCCCCGTCCGACCGGGGCAAGGGCTCCGCGGTGCTGCGTGTCACATGCACAGGCGCCTGCGCTGCAGCCGTAGGGAGCTAAGGATGGCCGCGCCCAGCCCTGCAAATCAATGAAAGGCATCCATCCGCCTGTACTGGTGGTGTGTGGTACTGCACGAGGCAGGAGCATGCCGCCGCGCTTTTGGCTGCAACCCTCGCTGCCTGGACAGCTCAGAAACCTTATGCCACAGCGGCGGTGGCAGCGGCGGCGATGGTGGCAATGGTCGTGGTACGACAGGGTTCAGAGTTTGCTGCTGTCGGGGTTTTCGCCCTGAGCTTTCGGCGATTTGTGGGGCTGTCGCCTTGGCCGTCGCGCCACGGTAGCCGCGCTGCGGTCACCCCGGCGCGGCCTTCTGATCTGGCAAGATTGCAGCAGCTCATCTTCAAGTTTGTTTCCCACTGTTCTCCAGTCGGCGATACCTGGCTCCTAAAGGGCATGGGCGCTCGTGGCTGCGCCGACTCAAAGCTGTTGCTGCCTTTGCTTCAGCTGACAAGCCGAAATAGCCCTTTTCTGAGGCTCTATGCGTCTACCGTACATGACCTGTAAACAGTCAAATTTGATCTGCAAGCTCTCAAATGCAGGGTGCCAAACCGCAAGCAAGGGGTGCCAACGCGTGTGCAGGTCGAATGCGCTCCTCCACATACACGAGCGCCTGTCTTCCTATGCCCCCAGCACCCGCCAGTGGGCTTGTCAAAGAACTGTCAATGGGGCAGCTCAGCTGCAAGGACGGCGCAATGGCAATCTCTGTCTCACCAGCCCCAGCTGCTGTCCTGCTGCGGCGAAGTTCGCCACCTGGTGCTGCGGCTGCGTAGTGCCAGCAGCCCAGTTTAATCGTCTCTCTCTGCCAGAGCAGACTTCATAATTATTATTAATCGCTATTGTCTGGTGTTCCCGATCCCATTCGCGCAGCCACACAGCTACTCTACACCCCAGCGTGGCTCCTCGCTGCAAACGTGGCCGGAACCGATGGCGCGACTTTTGTGTGCAGGTTAGCAGGGCTGCATAATAAAGACAGATCTTACATAGGCTTTGCTGACTAGATGCTGTTGCGGCGCGTGGCACGCCGCGTAATGTGCGCTGTGCATGGGTGCCCTGCCGCTGCCGCCAGCAAGCAACCGGTGCCTGACCCAATGGTGACCCCACTGCACGCTGTCCCTTCTGCGCAGTCTGGCTGCTATTCGCATGCGCCACCCCTGCCGTGAGCGCTGAACCCCTGGAGCCAAGCAGTACGGCAGCGCCGACCACCCGGGCAGCATTTGACCACGCCGCTGCCAGCCCGCAGCTGCACTCAGCAGCGCTGCCATCGCCGCCGCCGCCGCGCGCCGCGCATCACCGCCGGATGCTGCTGGCCGTGAGTGCCGACCCGGCGCCTACTCTGCCCTTCGGACTGGCCGTGGCCGGCGCATTCGCCGGCAACCGACGCTCGTCGGCCGGCGCGGGCTCGCTGACCCTCGACACCCCTTTTGGGGCCGCGACCGTCTCCGGGACCATGACGGGCGGCGGCGTCACGGACAACGGCAGGCCGGTGGTGTCCGCCTACAAGCAGAACTTCGGCAGCGGAGTAGTCTCCAGCGCAACCGCGGTCTCGGGGGGCCGCCGCGGCGGTAACGCCGCCCAGGTGGTCACGTACGGCCGCGGCGGCGGCTCCGGCGGGCAGGCGGCGTCCCTGGGCGGCGGCAAATCGGGGCAGCAGACGTGGAGGCTCGGCCCAAACGGACGCATAATCGACGAGGTGCCGAAGCCAATGGCGCAGTCAGGCCCAGGCAACCCTTGCGAATCCACTTGCAAAGCCAAGTGCGTAGACAAGAAATGCAAGGATCAATGCAAAGGCAAATGCACACCTAAAAGCCAAGGGCAGAGCAAAGGCAAGCCTGTGCAGGCCGCACCTGCCGACCAAACCTTGTTTCTTGGGGGGCTTGTGCAGTCTGTGATTGGCAGCCTGGGTTAGGCAGGCCGATCTGGATCGTCCTCGTTATGATCGGTTCAAACTCTTGTTGCACACGATTTGTTTAGGTACGCGGTCTGCAAAATGGCCGGTTCCTTGTTCATTCTACCTAGCCTGCCTGGTGCACAACACTTTCGAGTCCGCAGCATATGCGCAGACCTAATGCCTTGACCCTTGATGTGAGCCACAAAGCGGTTGTCTGAGCGCCACGAACACGCCGGCACCCTGGCCTTGATAGCAGTCTCGTGGACTTACCACGCATCCTCAGCACCCGCACGCTGCAAGGTACATCAATCACTCAATCACAACCTGTTCTACACAAGAACTGCTCGGCTGCCCATCTGGCGCCGGCTTGACTTCTGCTTCCCACCACGCCGCAATCTGCGTGTCAACAGCTCTTGTCCTTATGTGGTGTGAATTCTGAACCCGCGCAAACCTGTCCACAATTTTCCCAATTGGATGTGAGGCTATGCCGATTCGCCTGACAGTTAATACTTGCCGCGCTCTTTTCTCCACATGCCAGTACAGTTGCACCTGAATGCAGTCCCAGACAGCAGCGGCACCCCTTTTTCTTGAAGGAGCGAGTGACAATTGTCAGACCACCTTGACATGATGATATCGGCAAAACGCATGCATGGCAGGGCTGTCTGCCGCATCAGCGCGGCCAAGTCCCTGGCCAAGCCCATGGGGTGGGGTCAACATTTGGCCAGCAGGTGACCCCAGCCCAACGGTGGGTGTTGAGCCCCATTACCATGCTGGGCAGATGGTAAAAAGCCATTTGTACACATACGTTTCATCAGCACGCCGAATCGAGCTCGACTTGCCCTTGCGGCCCTACTCGGCAGCTGGTGTCACCGGCGTAACCAGGCCGCGGCCACAGCTGCAGTGCAGCGCTCGGCGCAGGGGCAAGGCAGGCGGCGCATGCTGCAAGGCCTCGAAACAAAAGGTCTCGGTTCTTACAACTCATGCATCTCACCGTTGATCAACTACACAATCAGCCTTCCGCTAAAAACATCAACGCAGCGAACACCGCCCCTTGATCACGCACGGCCACTTCAGCGGTCTAAAGTAACGGTACTCAACAAACATGGCCCGCAGCATCGTATTCTTTGCTGGTGAGCAGTGCAACGCCCTCGCTGTGCGTTGGCGGTGACGCTTGCGCTTGCACGGAGAAGCCGGCTTCATAAAAACCGCCGTGCGCAATGCTGACCAACCCCCTCCCCCCTGCGCCCGCACCACCGCCACCCCCACAGTCCTTGCAATGTGCTGCAGCGGTGCGCTCTGCGCGTCCCTCAAATCTGGCGGCCTCACTCAGGCCCCATCACAAGCAGTCGCGCGCTCCCTGATTGAGACCGGCAATGGCGGCGCGTCGATGCTGGCCAGGATCGTGGGCCCTCAGCAGGGTTGGGTGATGGCCGCAAAGGGACGCAGGCTGGCAGCGAAGCCTCTGTCCACGTATGGCATGAACGGCGGCGGCGGTTTCGGCAGCGGCATGGGCGGCAGCGGCATGGGCGGCGCAGGCGGCTTCAGCAACGCCCCTTTCTCAGCTGGCAACATCATGGCAGGCAGCCAGTTCATGGGCGGCAACAGCATGATGAACACCCCCTTCATGGGCGGCAACAGCATGATGAACGCCCCTTTCATGGGCAGCAACAACATGGCCGGCGTGCAGGGCGGCAGCAGCATGGCCGGCTCCATGGCTGGCTCCCAGGGCGGCAACAGCATGGCCGGCTCCATGGCTGGCACGCAGGGCGGCAACAGCATGGCCGGCTCCATGGCCGGCGCGCAGGGCGGCAGCAGCATGGCCGGCTCTATGGCCGGCGCGCAGGGCGGCAACAGCATGGCCGGCTCCATGGCCGGCGCGCAGGGCGGCAGCAGCATGGCCGGCTCTATGGCTGGCTCCCAGGGCGGCAACAGCATGGCCGGCTCCATGGCCGGCGCGCAGGGCGGCAGCAGCATGGCCGGCTCTATGGCTGGCTCCCAGGGCGGCAACAGCATGGCCAGCTCTTCGGCTTTCTCCAAGGGCGGCAGCAGCATGGCCAGTGCTTCCTCGTCAAGCTCTGGCAGCAGCAGCATGGCCAGTGCTTTCTCGAGCAGCAGTTAATGGTGTCATCCCTTGCCAGCCCTTTATGTTTGTTTTCCCGCTTTTTTTTACCAATTTTGCCGTCACCTCTCGTTTAGTCACCTTGCTAGTGATTTCTTTGCAGCAACCAGAACCAATACACATCTTGACAAACCCCAGCCCCATTATCGGCGCAATTATGTAAAGTTGATGGTCAGAATTCTCAATGTCGACGGGCATGAGTCAACCCTCAAGAGCACACCCCTTCTCTAGTGCTTTTTGCTTGTGTTTCTGTTGTGACGGCTCCCGCGTGGGCGCGTGCAATGCACACCACAGAGCTTGGGCTACATGAGAGCCCCTTGATGGCTCTGCCACACTGTTGTGTGTCTTGAATGCTGCACGTTGCATCAATGACTCAATCACAACATGTGCTGCACAAGAATTGCACTGTCGCCCCTCTGGCCCTCGCAACCTCCTTTCCAAACCACCAACATGGCACATGCACGGCTTGTGTCCCTACGCAGTGTGGATTTTTAAACAGCCCAGACATGACCACGTTTGTCCCATTGGCTGCAAGCCTATCCCCAATGTGGCGAGAATCGTACCCCGGCACACCCTTTTTCACTTTTTCCCACTGGCACATGAAACCAGTCCCAGGTAGCACACCCCCGTAGGTTTTATCAGGTAACAAGCGAGAAGTGTAAGGCTGCCTTGGCATGACGTTGTCCGCCGGGCGCATGCATGACAGGGCTGTCTGCTGCATCAGTGCGGCCAGGTCCCCTGCCAAGACCAGGGTTGGGGGGGTGACAACCGGCCAGCCGGTCACCCCATCAAAGTGGTGGTGGTTGGGCCCTGTGACCATGCTGGCCAGGTGGTGCAATGCAGTTTCGACCCTCTGATCGTCTCGCCGTGGCGATCAGATTATACGAGTCGTCTGCTAACGGGTACGGGCAGGGACACCCCACTCGTTTGGTGTTTGGTGCAGACTTGCCACTTCGCCCCCCTATGCGACAGTGACGGCCGGATACGACTCCAAGGAAGTGAGAAATAAAATTTTTGTGGGACATGTATCTTTGGCAGACGGAATCGAGCTAGACTTGTCCTTGCGGCCCTGCTTGGTAGCTGGTGTCACCAGGCCGCGACCACAGCTGCAGTGCAGCGCTAGGCGCAGGAGCAAGGCAGGCACCGCATGCTGCACAGCCTCGAAACAAAAGGGCTCGGTTCTTGCAAATCAAACATCTCACCGTTGATCAACTACACCTTCCGCTCGAAACATCTACGCATCGAACACCGCACCTTGATCACGCACGACCACTTCAGCGGTTCACAGTACTCAACATGGCCCGCAGCATCGTTTTATTTGCTGGTGAGCAGCGCACGCCCTTGCTTCGCGTTGACGGCAACGCTTGCGCTCGCTTCTTAGCAGCATGCCTGCCAGTCCAACACACCTGGCCTCGTTCAAAACCGCCGAGCGCACCGCTGATCCACCCCCTCCTCCCTACGCCTGCACCACCGCCACCCCCACAGTCCTTGCAATGTGCTGCAGCAGTGCGCTCTGCGCGTCCCTCAAGTCTGGCGGCCTCACTCAGGCCCCATCACAAGCAGTCGCGCGCTCCCTGATTGAGACCGGCAATGGCGGCGCGTCGATGTTGGCCAGGATGTTGGGCCCTCAGCAGGGTTGGACGATGGCCGCAAAGGGACGCAGGCTGGCAGCGAAGCCTCTGTCCACCTATGGCATGAACAGCGGCGGCGGTTTCGGCAGCGGCTTAGGCGGCAGCGGCTTGCGCGGCGCCCGCGGCTTCAGCAACGCCCCTTTCTCAGCTGGCAACATCATGGCAGGCAGCCAGTTCATGGGCGGCAACAGCATGATGAACACCCCCTTCATGGGCGGCAACAGCATGATGAACGCCCCTTTCATGGGCAGCAACAGCATGGCCGGCGCGCAGGGCGGCAACAGCATGGCCGGCTCCATGGCCGGCGCGCAGGGCGGCAACAGCATGGCCGGCTCCATGGCTGGCGCGCAGGGCGGCAGCAGCATGGCCGGCTCCATGGCCGGCTCCCAGGGCGGCAGCAGCATGGCCGGCTCCATGGCTGGCGCGCAGGGCGGCAGCAGCATGGCCGGCTCCATGGCTGGCGCGCAGGGCGGCAGCAGCATGGCTGGCTCCATGGCTAGCACCCAGGGCCGCAGCAGCATGGCGAGCTCTTCCGCATCGTCTAAGGGGGGCAGCAGCATGGCCAGCTCTTCGGCTTTCTCCAAGGGTGGCAGCAGCATGGCCAGTGCTTCCTCATCAAGCTCTGGCGGCAGCAGCATGGCCAGTGCTTTCTCGAGCAGCAGTTAATCACGGCATCCTTTGCCTGCTGATCAGCCATTTTTCTTTCACCTTTCGTTAGTCACCTTGCTAGCAGTTTGCTTGCAGCGGCTAGAACCAATTTTGTCTTGACAAACCCCAGCCCCATCATTGACGCAATGTAATTTCGTGGTTTTGAGGGTCAGAGTTCTCAATGCACACGGGCATGGGTCAACCCTCAAGAGCGCACCCCTTTTCTGGTGCTTTTTGCTCCCACATGATTTTTGCTCCCATGGCTCCCACGTGCGCGCGTGCAAAGCACATCGCAGAGCTTGGGCTGCAGGAGAGTCCTGTGATGGCTCTGCCACGCTGAGCGGCAGGCCAATCATCCGCTTTTTCTGTGCGGCAGGCCAACAATCCGCTTGCGGCCTGCACTCATGACACATTTCATGGCCAACATGCATGTTGCCCTGGCTGAGATGCACGGCGTAGAAATACAGGCTTGCATTGTGACGGGCATTCTCCAGCATCTTGCGTTTCTCATTCGTTGCCGCAAGGCATGACCACGTTTTGGTGTGGAAAACACGACGTTGCTGTCATGTTTTCCAGCCCGTTTGGCAAACGGCGGGGAGCCCACTCTGTCCATGCATACACAGCACAGGCTCCAAAACACCCGCAACTGGTCCCCATCCTTGGAATTCTACCTCTGTTTGCCACCGCGTGTGCTTTGCACCGCACAATGTCTTGCTCAGTGCTTATGTAAAGCTACAACCAACAAATGTGGCAGGGTTTTGCGCTGGACGGGTGAGGAAATACGCTGGACAGGTGATGAAGTAAGGCGACGCTCCGATATGATGAGAACAGCTTTTGGTCAGCAATTCACCTGCACCGTGTTTGGACCATCTGGGGGTGCGGCACAGTTTGATGCGGCACAAGGTCGTTCGTTTGCCTAACCCCGGGTGTTTGTCGTTGGGGAAACCCATTGCAACCATGCTGGGTTGCTGACCAACATGTGTGTAATACCCTGGTATTGCCACACTACCAGTCCACATGACCAAGTCTCCACAACATTACTCCTCGTGCTGCTGGTATGGCGATGCGTTCTGCTCGCGCTGACTCCGTCCATTTCCCCACCCCTCAGTGCTCATCAGACACCAGCGCAACTGCCGTTTATATGGTAGTCACCAGGCAGTCAATATAGAATTTGTTGCGCGACAAATGATCAGGATACCAACTCTTCCAACGACGCGAAAATGCACGATTGGCGCTGTTGGTGCCGATCAATCGATCAATCTGAGCGGTGATCTCGGCGCGATGGTGGTGCCCAAGTTCACAAACACAAACTGGTGAGCCGAACAATATACACTTCTATACACACACAGTTAGCTCGCTGATCAAAGCCTCGTGAAAGCTCGGCGTTTGGCACCCCCTGGGCGGACAGCCCACTGCTGCGCTGCTCATGCCGCACCCTGTTCGGCCCCTGTCATACAACATCCCGCGCCAACCACGGAACCCCGATCAACTGTTGTGCCGCACCTATTCACTCCGCCCATAGCCTCATAGAGCACCACGGGCGCCCCATATTTTGCGCCAAGTTCAACTGCTGCGACCCCTCATATCAAGACCTCCTCGCAACCGTTGGCAAGAACAAGGTGCGCGCCCCTGCGAGAGTAGCTGCCTGCCCTACCCCTTATTTTCTTTATCGCCTTGACTTCTGTCATTGCAGCAGACAGGCGTTGGTAGTGTCTGACTCAAAGCGGCGCAAGGTGGAGGAGGGGGGGGGGTGCGCCCCTCCTGCTTGGTGCAGGTTCTCAGGGCTGTTCGCACTGGGAGCCGAGGCAATGAAACAGAGGGAGTGACTCGCAAGCGCGCGGCCGTGCAGGCAGGCCCCAGTGCAACCCAACGTGTGCGGCGGAATGCTCCACGCAGCGGCGGCAAGGCGCCCGCGGGCGAGCGGCGCCGCTGGCAGGCAGCCGGCGCACACTCAGGGGGCCAGCCGGAGCCGCGTGCAATCCGGATCTTTCTGCATCCCTGGTTTAGGGTTTAGGGTATAAGATTCCCGACCTGAGTGCTGCCGTCCGCCCACCTCAGGCGACCATCTACCAGTGCCACCCCGGCGGCCGAGTGGATGTGGTGCAGATCTACACAGATGCGGACGTGAGCTGACTTTGCGTAGCTTTGCTCTGCCTCGAGGCGGCCGCTGCCGCTGATATGACGGTCGATGTTTCTGCGTCGTGCTTCAGGCGTGGCACTCTGCCTGGACACTGCCGAATGGCGCGCGCCGTGATGGTTTCCCCGTCATTTGCTGACCAGCAAATGAGGGAGCTAGGCGCAACCGCAACCGACGCCGCGACGTGCACTGCAACTCCCGCGCGAAACCACTGCAAACCCATAGCCGCAAAAGTGCATTGTGTTGCCGCATCGCCCTGCGCTACCATGAACGCCCGGGAGCGCAGGCGAACGAGGACCTATTCGTGGCCAACTGGTCCGTGCGGCCGGGCACGCGCGCGCCGCTGCTGCTGGTGGCTGGCGTCAAGGCGATCCTGCGCGTCATCGATTGCAGCCGCCAGTCGCTGGTTATGGTGAGGGGCCAGCCGCAGTGCATGCTTAGGCAGGCGATACGGGAGCAGCGGGCATGCAAGGGCGGGGGCGTTTTGATTGAGGCGTGAGGCGTTTTTTGAGGTAGGCATTGTATTGCTGGGCGGTGCCCATGGATGGCTGATGAAGGGATGTCGTGGTTGGGGAAGGGGGAGGGACTGGGGTTGCGCGACATGGGGTGGGGGGGGGGAGGCGGAGGGCGCCAGGTCCTGCCGTTTCGGTGGCTGCGCGATGCCTTGTGTGAATCATCCACACGCATGTGCTCGCGGCGCCCCCTTCCGACGAACCCGGCCCAACGAGATTGCCTATAAGTGCCGAGAGTCTCCCATGCGCAAGATTTGATTTGGGAACATGGCGTGGATATCCGCAGCTCGCACTTGCGACTTTTTTTTGGTCGCCCCCAGCAGCTGCTCACAAGATGCCCGCTTTCCTCTACAAACACACACCGCGGGCACCGACCAGTCTCTGCGGGGCCACGGCAAAGACATCCACGACATAGCGGTGCACCCCTCGCGCCCCCATCTGGTGCTGACCGCCAGCAAGGACGAGAGCGTGCGGCTGTGGAGCCTGGCGGGCGCCTGCTGCGTGGCGGTGTTCAAGGGGGAGGGGGCGCACACGCACGAAGTCATCAGCCTGGTGGGCCGGGGGCGCGCGGGCCGGGGGTGGCTCGAGAAGGTTGGCGCTGCAGTGACAAGGGAGGGTCGTGCAGTCGCTATCATCAGGTCAGCGGTAAAAGTTTTCACGTACAGTACAGGGTTTTGAGGGCGCGGGCTTGCACTGCACAAGGGCGACCGCCTGTGGTACAAGGGAGTTGCCACAACCCCTCGTGGTTGGGGGCCTGAGAAGCTGCTGCGAAGTTGGGGTTCAGGGGCGGGGTCTTTGGAGTGAGTAAGAACGCTTTGCTGCATTCCATTTGTCCGCACCGGTCTAGTTGATGGAGGTTTGAGGTCAAAGCTGACAGGGCCGACGCTTTCCAGCCGCGCAGGTCACTGCGAAGTTCTCGCGGTGATTTGTTGGCTACTTCCCTTACAGACAAATGAAGCCCTTGCCCCATCAATGATCTGTGTGGGTCTGCAGGACTGGCACCCCTGGCATGCGCACCTGTTTGCGTCGGCCGGGATGGACTCGTCGGTCAAGATCTGGTCAATACAGGGTGAGCCGGCCGGTGTGCGTCTGCAAGCTTGTGTTCGTGCGCGTGTGTGTGCGTGCACACGTGCATGTTGTGGGCATCAAACGAAAATGCTGTGCAATTTTTGCACGTCTGAGGTTGCGATTCGTGAGGATTTGGGGCCGTACGTGCGCAGGTGCACTTGCCTGCTGTGTTGCTTTCTTTGGCACGGCGACCACCTGCACAACAAGGTGTATTGTCATGTGGTGACTTGCAGGAGGGTAGCACCCTTGCAGCACGCGTACCATTGCCCCAACCTCCAAGCACAGCACGCGCAGTGAGCTTAGTGGTCCGGTCGGTGGTAAGGGTGCGTCAATCCTGCGAATTGGGCGCGCGCCCATAGTCACATCTGACAATCCCCGTGCTACTGACATCAGGCCCCCTACCGGGCCCCACGCACTGCAGGCGTCTGGCCGAGGGTCGAGCAGTCAGACACCTGGGTGCAGGACCCCCAGGGTGAGGGGCGCGCATTCAGGGCGTCACTGGTGGAGCACCCGGTGTTCTCGTCGCAGCGGGTGGGTGGTCGATCATGTTTTTGCGTGCACACGCACGCGTGCGCGTGTGTGTGTGTGCATGTGTGCGTGTGTGTGCGTGCGTGCGTGTGCGCGCTAGTGGGGTGCCACGCCGGCAGGTAGCTTCGTGGGTGTGTTGGGACCACGATAATCAGGTGGGGGGTTCGAGGGCGCGAGAGGCCCACGCAGGGCTCAGCACAGCCCACACACCCCACCGACTCGTTTCAAAGTGGGTGGATGTTTCTCCAATAGGCCCACGGGTGAACAGGAGGCCAACGGGGTGGGGGGCGATGCAGCAGTGTTCTCATGATTACATTTCATCGATGAAACAAGAGGCTGTGAGGCATCAGACAGGGGGCATGGTGGGCAGGGGCTAATCTCATGTTGGCTGAAAGCCTTGGCAGGGACCCTCTTGCATGACCAAGCATTTGCCTTCGGGCCCCCGCCACGCCATCGGCCCCTCGCACCCCCTGACTCGCCCCTTCAAAACCTCCCACCGGCAGATCCATGGAAACTACGTGGACTGCGTCAGGTGGCTGGGTGACCTGCTGCTGAGCAAAAGCGTGGACGGCCACATCCTGCTCACCAGGTGGGTGCCGGGTGACTGGGTGGCCGGGTGACCGGGTGACTGGATGATGACATCCAGGTGTTGCGAGTCGGGCTGCTTGGTAGCCCTGCCCATTCGCGCAGGGCGTGGGGCCGCCGCAAGCTGCGCAGGCGGAGGCGTCTTGGCGTTCCGGCGCCCGCTCACGTCGCAGAGACCCCTTCACGGAAGAGACGGCAGCGAAGCGTGCACAGACCCTGTGTCAAAACTCAAATCTGGCCTCAGATTGTGTATCCTTCTGAAGTTGACCATTCTGTCTCGCAGGCCGCACCACCCTGATGACCCGCAGCTGCAGACCAGCAGCGAATTCACAAAGCTCAGGGTGGGCGCGGGGCCGTGGCAGGGCGGTGATGAGGGATGGGATGCCACATAAAAGCAGTGCCCATGCCACCCCCTACACGTACGTGAGGTGAAGACAGGCTGGTGGCCAGGGGTATGCTGCCCACTGCCCATTAGAGGGTTCCGAACCCGCACCCCCCTGCACGCCCAGGAATTGACGCACCCAAAACCCCTCACGCTTCCGCGCACCAAAGCCGCGCCCTCTCCCCCCCCAAAAAAAACAGTCGTTTGACCTCCCCTCCAGCAGCATGTGGTGGGTGCGCTTCGACGTGGCCCTCGCCGGCGACCTGCTGGCCTGCGGCAACGGCGCCGGCAGCCTCTTCCTGTGGGACCCGTCAGGGGGCCCTGGCGGCGGCGGCGGCGGCGGCGGCGCGCCGCACGCGGTCCTGCAGGCGAAGAGCTGCACGCGCGTGGTGGGTGGGGCCAACGGCATCGTTGACAGGCGTGCTAGCGGGCTCTAGCCTGCGGTCTGTCGATCGCATGTACTTACCTGATATGTATTTGTACTGAAGGGAATGGGGCAGGGTTGTGCCAGGAAAGTCCAGGTCAGGAGCGGACGGTGTCGGGTGGTAAATGGATGCGTTAAACCACCCCTTCTTTTGATCGATGCACCCGCCTGCCGGCCTCTCCACCAGCCAGCTGCTTGCACGCATGCTGCCCCGTCGCACACACGCACACGCGCCTGCGCGCACTCGCCCACGCGCAACCCTCCCCAATCTCATTCACTGCTGGCATGCACACATCCACCACCACCATCCCCATCCCCATCCCCACCAACCCCATCCCCATCCCCACCTGGCCAGGTGCGGCAGACCACCATTTCGTTGGACGGATCCCTGGTGGCGGCCGGATGCGATGACGGCAG